AATTGCTTTTTTTCTTTCCCCCTCCCCCCCCCCCCCGGCCTCGCCTCCTTTTCTCTGCTTCCCCCATCGGCTATTACCGTAGACAACCTTTCTTGGTCTCTTGTTTCACATCGGTTTGCAATAAGCAGTTACACGGGGGGGGAAAAAAGAAAACCAATTCTGCCCCTCCCCGGCCCAGCTCATTAACGATCTTCCCATTCCGTATTTGAAAGCAATAAAAAAATACCATCGAAACGGAAAAAGAGCCGACGCCACCCCCTTCCAAAATAAAAATAAAGAAAAATAAATAAACCGGTGCTAACGAACCGGGAGTCCAAGCGGCTCCGTTGCCGATTTGGAGGCTCTCATTTTGTGCTCTGAGATCCATCATGGCTTCCCCCTGCTTTTTCTCTCTTCCCTGCTCCTTGTGTTCCTCCTCCCTGTGGCTGCCCTGTTTATATAGAGCCATTGCCGCTCTCTAATATAGACTCTGCCAGGATGGGAAGGTGCTTTCCAACCCCACGTCACCGCCTCTCCATTTAAACACCACATCAGCCTTTAAATAGGGAGAGAGCTGCGGAAAGCAGGCTGGGAGGTGCCTGCGCTGCACGGGCACAAGGCGGAAAGGCGCTCGCTTTTGTCACTCCGCAGCGGAGAGCGGCAAGTTGCAGCTTTTAAAGGCGAGGTCCTGGGGCTGCAGAATGGCAAAAAGCGGCGGGTCCTCCCTTGTTTGTTATTCGTGCTTCTTGCCCTTGTGGAGGAGGCATGTCTTTTTACATAGGAGGCAAAACAAGATGCCACTTATCCTTCCTCTGTTGGAAACGGCTGTGTCGTTAGCTGCTGTTGTATGTTTCATGGCACTCTGGCTGAACTTAATGGGGCTTGCTACAAGAGCAGCTATGCATAGCAAATGAATAATACTTTTTATCTACATGAGCCTACGTAGATACATAATACGAAACAAAATGTGATTGTATTTCCTATTTTCTTAATTACTTTTTGTGACAGGGAGTGCAGTGGAATAATTTTTTTTCATTTGTCAAGTCATTGATAACTCTGAACTGAAATATCTGAGTTTAAGCATTTTCATCCTCTGATTTGTAAGTTGGAGTGACTGAATGTACTCAGATAGTGTTGGGATCAATGTTACTATCCTGCTCTGAATTTTGTTGCTTAAATTTAAGTAGTTTATTAGTTGAGTCCCAGTGATATCAGTTGAACTGGACTGAATTAGAACAGAATACTTTGATTTTAGTTGTGTATCAAAGTTACTTTTATGCTAAAGAGCACTTCCAGTCATGCAAAGTAGTTTGGAATACACCATAGTTATAAATAATAGTTACTTGGTATGGTGCAGAACTGCAGAATTTCCAAATAATTTCACACTAAAAACATAAAGAGCCTTGGAGGCAGTGGAAGACAGAAGGGCCTGGCATGCTCTGGTCCACAGGATCACAAAGACCTAACGACTAAACAACATGGTTTAATGACCATTATCATCTTAGAATAGCAGGACTGGAAGGGATCCTATGGATCATCAAGTCCAGCCCCTGTCAAGGAGGCACAGTGAGAAATCCAACTTCTGTCTGTGCAGCCATATGCCTAAACCACTGAGCTATCCAGAAGTTGTTTATAGTAGTTTAAAATAAACCTTTAAGAAGGAAATACAGATGTTCATGCATGTGAAAACAGTAGTTCAGTGAGCCAGCCTGGCTTCAGTTAAAATTACTTCTTTAATGTATTTGAAGTGTTGCTAGCATAGATTAAAAAAAAAACCAAGTGATTCTCTCTTGTAATTTTTTTAAAGCCTAAACTATATAGGTCTGTGATTGAAGATGTGATTAATGATGTCCGAGAAGTCTTTCTGGATGCAAGTGTGGATGAGCAAGTTCTTGTGGAACTCAAAACAGTAAGTCATTGTAAATTATCCAGAACATGTCATTTGTGACAACACATAATAGTTTCACTTTTATAAGGGGTATATGTTGCTGTTAATATTCATACAGTGGCTGAAATTCTGTTGTGCAGCTCCACCTATGCAGTAGGAATGTAACTGGTGGCACATTGCCATTGATTAAAGACTTCCTTTTATGATTTCTGGATGCATACAAATCTGGCACATTGCAAATGAGGTTTGTGCACCCTAAAGTTGCTAAAGGAAATATTTAATCAGTGGCAAGCTGTTGCTGCTGCTGTCATTCCCGTTGTGCAGGTGTATGACACCCAAGAACTTTGGTCAGTATGCCTAAATTAGTTCGTATCGCTTTTCAAAACCTGAATTCAAGGCTTAGGATAATGGAAGCTATAGTCATAGCACATCTAGGGGGTCCTTATTTGGGAGAAGCTTCCTTAGACTATCCCTGTAATGTAATTCTCCCTGCATTTTCAGCTGGTGTCATTTATCTAAAGCTATATCTTGTAGGTTATAGGGTGAGGTGAGGTGACACAGATTCTGAAGGTTAATCACCATGTTATATAAGCTTTCTGGAGTTATAAGTACAGTGGTACCTTGATTTACAAACTTAATCCGTATTGGAATGGCATTCGTAAATCGAGGCAAGATTTCCCATAGGAATGCATTGAAATCCATTTAATCCGTTCAGGCTGTTTTTCGTTCATATGTTGAGGTGCTGTTCGTAGGTAGAGGCATTAGTTCCCATAGGAACTAATGCAAAGCCGGTTTATCCATACTCTATCACTAGGGGGAGATTTTTTTTCTTCTTTTGACCTAAGATGAATTTAAGTCAAAAAAGGGCAGGAAAGGGTTTTTTTTCGTTTGTAAGTCGAGGCTCCACTTGCAAGTCGAAGCAACATTTTGCAAACGGAGCTGTTCATAACTCGAAACGTTCGCAAGTGGAGATGTTCATAAGTCGAGGTACCACTGTATAGCTCTGGTTTTTAAATAAACGCATGTGTAGTAATTTGATTTTTCAAAGTAATAGTACTTTTCTTTGAGTTAACACTATTGTAATCAAATAAACAAACAAATAAATAATGGTGACCGGTATTCTCTTCAGATTACTACTTATGGAATGAAATTTGTGGAATGGGTTGTGACTATTTGGAGGGAGTGGGTTGTGCATTCTGCACCTTTCCAAATAGCTTGTAGCCCCTTCTGCAACTTATATACCTGTTAATCTGAACAGGATACAAATTTATAGTAGTACCTTTGAAGCAAATATCTGTAGCATGACTATTCTATAGTGAAAGAGAACATTGTTAGCATACTTTTCCATCCTACTTGCTCTGATACTCTGTGTTTTTCAAGCTAATCATGTGGACCATAGATGTCCCATAGAAGAAAAAGACAACCCACAAACTTCCAGTCTGGTTTTTCCTTCCACTCTAATAGGACATAATTATCCTTTTTTTTCCACTGCTTTCTGTATCTCTAAACAAAAAAGTCTTCCTTTGGTTGTACCCTACACTACACTGTCCTTGATATAATGGTGCTATATAAGCATAAAGAGGATAGTCCCTGCCTCTCTCCATCAGACAGGCGACATAGGAAGTAATCCTTTTTCAAGCTGTTCAGCACCTATTAGATGTTGGTGCCATAGGGATACTTACAGCAAAGGCACTCAGAATGCTACTTGGTAACTGTCATTGCTCCCAAAGGGACTGGAGCCACACTGTCCTTGATATAATGGTGCTATATAAGCATAAAGAGGATAGTCCCTGCCTCTCTCCATCAGACAGGCGACATAGGAAGTATTCCTTTTTCAAGCTGTTCAGCACCTATTAGATGTTGGTGCCATAGGGATACTTACAGCAAAGGCACTCAGAATGCTACTTGGTAACTGTCATTGCTCCCAAAGGGACTGGAGGGTGATAAAGGACTTGAAGAGAATTAGCTGCTTGGGAGGAGATGCAGATTTCAAATAGAGATGTTCATGGTGATTATGGAAGCTCAACAATGAGGAGCTTCTTAGCTTCCTTGGATCTCTTGAAAGCATGCCTACATATTTCAGTTCATTCTCTTTAAAGAAGGTATTAAAAGTTTGCTTATCGGAGAGACATTTCTAAAACAAAGCTCTCAGGTCCAGACTCTCATTCTCCCCATGGTGTTCATAAAGGTGTTCTAGCTTCACTTGTTGTGCATCTCAGAATATGGAGGCTTCACATATTTCCATACCTGGAGTCTCTAAATAATGGAATGTATTGTAGAACAATGGGTCTTTGATCAACTTCAACAAGAACCACTGCCTAGGGGTTATCACCCTTACACAGCAGGGCATTGTTTTGTTACCTTAGGACAGGGTGGGAAAATTGCCCAAGATGATTTGTGAAGTACTTCAGACTTATGAAGTAGACCTGATGTTACTTACAGCCTTTCATGGGCTTGTGATAGCAACCATAGATTGGGTTCCTCGGGGAAAGATTTCCCACTTAGAGTGAATTCTTAAGAGTTGCAAACTAAAATAAACAAAAGTCACATACCTAGCTTTTGCCTCATCAGAAGGCGATTGAGTATCAACAAAATCTGTCATTCTGGGTTTCCCATCAGGACTAACTGTAGTACTGGCTTACACTGGTACTGACTCAGAGCAAGGCCCTCCGAACAACATACAAAATTCAGCTCATTGCAGGTGCTAATCTGAGAACTTGGGGACCATTCACAGTGCCAACTGGGTAGAACTGTGTGTGGTCCAACTAGCTTGGGAACATTTGTTTGTGTTTAGAGGAAAGTGTTGTTGCTTCCTATCAAAAACATGACTGCAAAGGTATACAGAAGTTGTCAGGGAGGGACAAGGAAATGGCAATTTAGGCTGTTTCCTACTGGCAAAGAAGGGCATGTTTCCCAAACATACATAACACTACCAGTATACTCAGCCTGTTAAGTCACAGAATCATATCTATACTCCCCTGGATGATTCCAGTGACATACACTGCTCTTGAGTGTGAGATGCTACCTAGCAAGGATTGCTCTAAGAAATTTATATCTGGCAGAGTTCCCCCCCCCCCCCCAGTTCTGCCAGAGTCACTTGTCCCAGCCAGGCCGGGCGGCTGAGGGGCCTAACACTGAGGGAGGTCCAGAAGGAAAGAACGAGGAACTGGGCCTTCTCGGTGGTGGCAACTAGCCTCTGGAACAACTTGCCCATGGAGATCCGCCTGACTTCCTCTCTGGGTGTCTTCAGAAGCAAACTCAAGACTTGGCTATTTGGGCAGGCTTTCCCTCCGGCTGTATCTTAAATTCACTCCTTACCATCTTGGATTTATAGTGCATGTTTATTGGTCTAACTGTTTTTAAATTTGTAATCCTGCCCAGAGTAGACCTTCAGTCTAGATGGGCGGGGTAGAAATCCAATAAAATAAAAAAAATTAACATTCTGGCTTCACTAAGAGAATTTATCACAAGGGTCTCTGCAGAATCCTAGTGAGGCTTTCACATATGCTCTTTTTGAAATTGACACAGGACGTCTTTACCTGCAATAGTAGTGTTCCTTTAGGAAGAGGAGACCACTGTCTGTTTCCCAACAATGTGAAAAGACAGATGGCAGCACCGTTTGTCCCTTAGCACCGTTTGTCCCTTCTAGGGACAATGCTCCAAAAATGCATTAGGGCTTATTTTCAGGGAATGTTTTATTTTACAGCTATGTCATCTGTTTGCTGCACCATGGTGGAGGGCGGGGTTTCACTCAACAAGCTTATTTTTGCTGTAGGGCTTATATTCGAGAATCCTGAAAAATCATACTAGGTCTTATTTTCGAGGAAAGAGAGTAGACATAACTCAGTTTAATTAAAAAACAAACTCCATAGTGAGAGTAGATCTGTCTTTCATTCAGAACATGTGTTCCATTCCATGAGTTTTACCATCTTGTCCGGTCTCCATGAGCTAGGAATAGCACACCTTGTATGTATGTAGAGCTCTAAGGATCTGTGTCAAAAAGACAGACAAACTCCATAGCACTGAGAGTAGATCTGTCTTTCATTCAGAACATGTGTTCCATTCCATGAGTTTTACCATCTTGTCCGGTCTCCATGAGCTAGGAATAGCACACCTTGTATGTATGTAGAGCTCTAAGGATCTGTGTCAAAAAGACAGGGGTATCCAGGAAATCTGTCTTTGTCTCCTTCAGCATTTGGAATCTGGGCTGTTTATTTAGACATTTGCAGGCCCAGGCCATGGAGAGTTCCCCTTCATGAGACTCTAAAGTCTTTGTATCTGTGGAAGCCTTTTTCAGTCCAAGAGCATTAAATCAACTGGCACAACAATAGATTGGGATGGGGTTCTCTGACTGCAAGATACCTGCCCCCCCTTCCCCCAACTAGTCGGTTCTTTGTGATGTCCCATGCTAAGGAGGTCCTCTTCCACTGTAGGGAAAAAAGTAACAGAATTTATTATGACATGCTTATTTTCTTTGTACAATGAAAAAAGAACATTCTTCTTAACCCATCATGATTAATAAAAGAGCTGCTGGATGATTAGGCAGGTACTCCTTAGCAGGCATATACAAGACAGGACAGATACAGTGGTGCCTCACTTAGCGACGTTAATCCGTTCCAGGAAAAACGTCGCTAAGTGATTTAATTGCTAAGCGATTAAAAAAACCCATGGGAACACATTAAAACGCGTTTAATGTATTCCTAAGGGCTTTAAAACTCCCCTTAAGCGAAAATCCGCCATTTTGGGTGCCTCTAAAGCGAGGCAAAACAGCGGGCAGCCATTTTGGAACCGCCGATCAGCTGTGCTTCGTCTCTCTCTCTCCACGTCTTTCTCGGCCAGGGTGGCGGTGGCGGCGCCTCAGTCTCCCTGCTGAGGATGGAGCTGGGAGAGGTGGAGAGAGAGAGAGAGAGGAAGCACAGCTGATCGGCGGGGCGATCGCAAAGCCCCGCCGATCAGCTGTGCAAAAAGGGTCGCTTTGCTATGATCGCTTTCCTGCGATCATCGCAAAGTGAATTTTCCCCATGGGGCACCGCACAGCGATCGCTCTTGCGATGGCAAAAAGTCCATCGCAAAGCAATTTCATCACTATACAGAGCGATCGCTATGCGAGGCACCACTGTATTCCCTGGCTTTGATTGCTTAAGTAGCTGCCTGGTTTCAGTGTTTTGAAATTCTTTTCCTCTGCTATCACTCTTGTATGTTAAATTTTATATATTTTCTTTCTGCTGATGTATATGATGCTGCAACTTGGATATGAGCCTGGAAGTTCTGGGGTTTTCCTCTCCCTCTAGAGGGCGCCTAGGGCCCACATGATTAGCTTGAAAATATCCTATGTATCAGAGCAAATGGAAAGTATAACACATATGAAAGAGGTCCTCTTTCCATTGTAGAGAATGAACATATTAGTCAGTAATGTATTTTTTGTTACTGCTTTTGCAAACATTGAATGTGAGAGAGATTGTTCTTGGATCTTCTGGAACATACTTTCATTCTCAAAATGCTTTCTGTGCATCCCTTATTCATATGCATATATCTATGAACTCTCACTTATGCATACATAATAGCACAGCAACAAAAAGAACTTCTCTAGATGTGTTGCAAGGAAAACGCAGATTCATAACACTGTTGAAGTGGGGAATAGGTCATCATCACACTCAAAACGATGGTCTTCGTAGAGTATTTTGTTGAACATCCACTAAATGAACATTCCTGTCAGTATAATAATGTGGGATTGCATTCATTGCACAAGCAGTGATCTCCATGAAGAAAATCACCTTATACTTGAGCAGCAGCAACATTTGCACATGTGGTGCGATCCTACATTATAGTGCTGGTGGGACTTCCTGCTTAGCAGAAGCTCAGTAGGATACTGATGTGACTGGCATAGGAATCAGTATCCTATTTTCTTAGGAGTGACAAAATCACATCTGTTAGTAAGCAAAACTCTCACAGTGCCACTGTGCTAATTCTGTTAAGTAACCAGAGATGGATGGCTTTTGGGTAAAACTAGTGTATGCCAAATAAGGCATGGAAAGATTTGTTTTGGAAATGGTAAGACAGAACTTGGAAATTATATATTTGAGGAAAACCTAATTGTTGATGACAGTGTTGGGATGCAGGTTTTGGAATGTACACATTAAGAACATATCTAATTATAATTATCTGACTCCAGATGTAGGGATCTAGAGTTGAAGGTTCTGGAGTTAGAAAAATATTATGGTTGTATGCTCAGGTTTAATAGCTTTTAGTTACAAATAGGATACTTTAGATAAATTCAGATAGTTCCACATGAGTCAAGACACTGATTTTCCAGTGTCCTAAATCACTCATAGATAGAGGAATCTCCTTTCTTCAGATTTGGCCACTCTATCGGCACCAAGTAAACATGATTTCTGGATGATTTCATAAGGCTTCTATCACTGTAAGTAGGGTGGAGTAAGAGTCAAATGCAAACCAAATTGATAGAAGGTAAATTATTGTTTTCCTAAGAATTTCTTTTTATTGGAAATTAATTAATGCTGCTTGGTCTGATGTGGGTTAGTAATGTAATGCAGAATGAATGCTACTATATATCAGTTTTTTTAAAAAATATGCTCAGAAAGATCTTTTAAAATAAATATAGCTGTGGGAAAACAAGCTGCTACAATCCAAGGCTGTAGATGGATTTCACTCAGAAGAACAGCAGCTTTTATTGCAAATACAACAGCAGCAGCAGCAACAACAACAGCAGCAGCAACAGCAGCAGCAGCAACAACAACAGCAGCAACAGCATACCCACCATCACCATCATCCACAGCCACAGCCAACAGTTCAGCCGTCCCAGCCGCAACAAGTTCTTATACCTGCAACACAGCAAGGTAAAGACCACTTTCCTTTCGGGATTTGTATGGGAGCAGCAGTGCTTCCTCTAAGGCAAGCAGGCACACAGTGCTTCATCATGTGCACGTAGCCAATCCAGTTCTGACCAGAATCCTGCCCACAGGGGGCAGAGCGACCGCACAATACTGTGGAGAATTAGAGGGAAGAGTGATCCTGACAGATAAGACCCAGTGCACAGTTCCTTTTTTCCCCTGTTTCCATTTCTTTTGCTTAGCTTGTTTCTCACAAGGGATGTTATCCAATCTTGAAAGTGTCAGTTGTTTACATACCAACAAATAACTGTAGCAGCAAAGTACTGTCCATATGTGGCACAATGAAAAATTACATATGAGGAAGCAAATGTTAGAGGAAAGCAATGTTTTAGTAATTACTATTTCTCATTAATAATTACTTTAAAGACAACTTTTGTAATTTTCTTAAACTATTAACTCAGGGGTGTTTGGTCTTGAGAGCTCCAGGGACTGTATGTGCCCATTGCTGGAGCTTGGAGGGCTACTTTTTTTACTCCATCCCCTAGCTTTCTTAGAAAAATGAGGGCTCTGCTACACTCCATGGCACAAAAAATCATACTTTTTTTGGAGGGAGGTGTGAATAGCCAGGGTTGCAAACATGTCAGAACTGGGGGGAGGGGCACATACATTTGGGGAGTACTAGGGCAGTTTCTAAGTCAAATTTAGCTTTAAAAAAAATTAATTTGAGGGGGATGAAAAGTGCAGGGGTACTGCTTGTTGTCCACCTTCCATAAACAATGGAGTATCACAGAAATAAATGATACTTATAGTGTACACATTGGTTAGATGATGCCTGTGGTATGTGTGCACTTTTGTTTAGGTCTTGGGCACGCTTCGTTGTTCATTAAATATGTAAGTATTTAAAAAAACAGTTATATAAAGCAATGAAGGAAGACATCTTCAAAAAAATATAACAGAAGGTGAACATTGTTGGATCTTATTAATTCAGAGTATGAATGTGTCCAGATAGTAGCTGTTTAAAGCTTACCAGTGTCATCCCATGCATCTGACTTATATCCATACTGCTACCAAAAATTTGGACTTGAACCGCAGAAGTATTATTTTAAGGAAAGATATGCTATAAATGTTCTAGGAATGCTGTTAGTCTTCAGGTATCACATAATTTATTTTCTATGTTTTTGTCTACTCTTAAGTATTTTTGTGCAATTTAAATCACTCAACCCTTTCAGCAATTATGTGGCTGTTTTTTTAACTGTATCAGTTTCCTAATTATAGCCAGCAGATTAGTTGTATAATAGGGGATGGGCAATCCTAGACTCCAAAATTTAAAGATAGTTAAACAAGATAGTTATGATTCTGAAGTCTGAGAGGTGAACAAATTCTAGCTTTCTCTAGAATTGAGCAGTCTAAGCATAGTCTCAAATACAAAGTGGAAACAAATGTTACATCCCTTTGATAAAAGTCATTCTAATGAAAGTACATGCTTGGAAAAAGCTGAATAACAAAGTAGAAAGAGGTTCATTTGTTTTGTGGATTCCTCTTATTGCTATTTTTTGTAGCTTTAATGAATAGCATTTTTAATTTGTAGCTCTTAATGTTCCCTTTAGTTTTTTTCTTGAGTCCATAATATTTACTGCTTATTTAATTGAATTATTTATACCCTGCCTTTCTTTTTAAGAGGACTCAAAGCAACTTACAGAATTAAAACCAAAAATATTTGGTGTTAAAAACCAATAAAACTACAATATTAAAAAAAGAATTAGAACAGATAATCAAGCCAAAAACTGGTGGATAAAATAATCATAACCATCATAAATGTAATCATAATAGCAGTATGCTGTCAAGGCATTCCAACTTATGGCAATTCTTTCTAGGTAAATAATACACAGAAGTGATTTGCCATTCTCTTCTTGTGGTTTACCATTTCCTTCCTCTGGGACAGCCCTGGGACTGTGCAGCTTGCCCAGGGCCACACATGCTGGTTTTTCTCAGATGCCAGAAAACTGGGAAATCAAACTCCTGACCTCTGTCTCCACAGCCAGATGCCTAAACTACTGAGTCATCCAGGTAGCTCTGGTGAATAAAAGAAGGTTAAAACTGTTCAAAAATGCATTTAAAAAAATCTAAAGCAATAAATAAATGAAACACAGATTTGTTTTTAATAACTCCCTCTTAGGCACAGAGTTAATAAGAAACAATCTGCTTGAAGAGAAAGGTCTGCCTGCTTGTGGAAGAACAGCAATGGTTAGGGAGTTGCGTAGCCTGGAGAAAATTCCACAGCTTGGAAGCAACGGCACAGAAGGCCATCAGTTGTGTCTTCACCAAACACATCATTGAGCATAGTGGGACTGAGAGAAAGTCTGCTTCTTCATGATTTAAAAACCTGAACAGGCTAATAAAGGGAGAGGTGGTCTTTCAGATAGCTAATTCCTGCAAGTTCAATGTACTGGAGTATCTCCAATTAGCCACCCTGTGTCTTCATGTAGGCAGAAGGTAGCAGGAATATGGGATGGGGTGATGTTTAAGAGACTTTATACCTTCTGACATGTTATTTTAAATTGTAAGACCTTCTGTTATAATTGCCAGAATAGACATGCAGCATTATTGGCCAAACATCTGGAGTTCATAAACTACACATCTGTCAGGAGAAAATGTATTCTTAGGGCCAAATATTATTTAGCCACATTGAATTGGTTTCCGGATAACAGCAGTAGAAATGTCAAGAAGGATCCAAATTTCCAAATCCTCTCCTGAAAACTGCTATTAATTCTACAGTGGAAAACCCAAGCATCTACATGTGCCTCCTCTGCTGCCTCCCCATTGCAGTTTATGGTGGGTAATATTGCTCAAAAGAACTGAAAAATTTCTCAGAGGGCCACTTCCTGGTAGTCCTTAAATTGAGAAACACAACCTGTGGTAGATCAAAATAAGAATCTTGTTCAAAACAGGCAGGTTAGGTCAGGAAGATGTAGCAAAACAGCCTGTGTAGCAAATGGAATAAAGGAGGTGTAACATCTATACTTTGTTGAACAGATAGTTTGGGGCTTTGATGCAAAAGCCTTTCATGTAAATTGTCCTAACAGTAGTATCCATGCCTAATGTGGGCTCAGGTACCGCACTTAACCATTGTTCTTCTTTCACCTGTTTTGTTCTTAAGTCTTGTGCTTAAAAGGTTTAGCATATCATGGTGGATATGTTACTTTCCATATAAAATAAAGGTTTAAAATGTAAACTACAATCCTAATTCTATTAAACACAGAAGTAAATAATAGTTTGTTGTAATATAAGTAAGATAACTGTCATGCAGTCTTCCAAGATTTTAGGTTTATTTGGAGTTTATTTTACTTGATTAATGTTCACAAACATAGATTAAAGGGCCTGTTTCGAACAAGAAGCATAGTAGAGGCACGTTAATTTCCAGCACTGATTATTTTTGCTTTTGTGTTATAGCACCCCAACAGCAAGTTATAGTGCCAGATTCTAAGCTGATGCACATGAATACATCAGGCATGGTAAGACGTTATTTGATTTATAATGTCTTGGAGTCCACACATAAAGATCTGATTCATAAAGATTGTTTGAGTAAGCTTTTTTGTTTTGTATAAAAGAAAATTGTTAACTTATTTTGTTTGGCCCAACTTTATTTTGTGAAACAAACATACGTTATTTTCCCAGTGAAAGTTTTTAGCATTGACACCTTAGGTCTGACAAAATGTGGAGCCTACGGCGTTGGCAGTGTAAATAATTCTCCTGTTTTGTACAGAAGAACATTTGCTAATGAATTGGTACTTCATGCTTTGTATTAAATCTGCTTTTTTCTAGTAAATGTGGGGATGGCAGGAAATGAAATTTCTCAAATTTGTTTTCATAAAATGTTTAGTACTATGACCAGCTGTGTGCTATGACCACATTATCAGCCCTCTGGTAGATATAAATATTGGACTGCCATGTTCTGTGTGTTCTGTTTCACTGTCAGTGTGACATGTCATAGGATTTTCATGTTAAAACATCCCTTAATTTTTCAGAGTGCTGCTGCTACTGCAGCTACCTTGGCTTTGCCTGCTGGTGTTACTCCTGTGCAGCAGATTCTCACAAATTCAGGTAGTTTGGCATTTTTTGTCACTTTCCATTTACATTTCCTTGGTGTTGAAAAATGGAACACATAAAATATGTCAAAACATAAATGACTAAAATTTAAAACAAAATTATTGAATATTTATCAGTTCATGCATAAGTAAAATCTAATATGAAAATCTTCCAAAAAGTCCAACTTCTAAAGATATAATGTAGCTGGTAAGCTCTGGTGATAGAAGAAGCCAAAGCCAAATAGATGTTTTTATGGAAGGCATTCCATAGTTCTGGGAATATTACAGAAAAAGGATCCATTGTCTGAAATCCTTTTGCTTTTTTATGTGTGGGGGGAGGCAAATGGTGTAAAATTCACTCACTTCTAGCTGGCAATCAACAAGTCCCTTGTGGGATTCTCAAAGATGTGCCCAAGAATTGCAGTGGTGATTCATTGCCAGGTGGAAGCAAGTGTTTGCCCTCCTTATGTGTAAAAGAAGAAGAAGAAACAGCCACTATGCACAAGGCAGTTTTTCCAAAAGGGTCTCATTAGCAGATCCAGAATCTCAGGTGGTGGGGGTATGATCTGGCTTGGTCCTTTCTGAGACAGATGGGAACAATGTTCTGGGTTGAGCCAGGAAACAAACTATCAGTATATATAAACAAATTAAATGTGTATTAGTTATTAGTTCAAGGCTACTGTATATAGGTTAAGACCAAAAAGCAATTGGCAACCAGTGCAGATCTTTGAGTATCAGAGTCATATACTTACAGTATTGTGTACTAGTTATGAGCCCTGTTACAGTGGGGTCTTGACTTAAGAACGGCTCGAGTTAAGAACATTTTGACTTAAGAACCGCTCTCATAGGAAAATATTGACTTAACTTAAGTACTTAGATTTGAGTTAAGAACTGAAAAAAACCCACGTGGGAGGCAGGGAAAGGGCAAAATGTGAACTTTCAGTTAACTGTTGGCCAGTGAAAAGGGTGCCTGTCTGCTTCCTCACTCCTCCCAGCGTTTAGAGAGTGGATTGGGAGACAGTCTTCGGACTGCCTGGTACTGCCTGGACTGTATTTTCCCTGCTTTCCCTGAACCTTTCTTGACCTAAGAAAAAAAGAAACAAAATATCCCCCTCTAGTGGTCGAAGGCGGAATAGCAGCTTCCCATTAGTTTCTATGGACGGAAAAGAGCAGATACGGATCAAATGGTTTTCAATGCATTCCTATGGGAAATGCAGATTTGACCTGAGAACTTTTTGACTTGAGAACCACCTTCCAATACGGATTAAGTTCTCAAGTCAAGACCCCACTGTATTTATTTATTTCAGTTTAATATACTGATTCTGTTAGTGCCACAGCACTATGCCGTTGCCATGTATTGCACCAATTGAAGATCCTGAACCCTCATCAAGGGAAGTTCCAAGTACAGTGCATTGTAGTACTCAAGGCATGATGTAACTAAGTCATAGGACACTGTTGCTGAGTCAGGTTGGGTCCCCCAGAGCAATGAGCCTTGGTTAATCCAGTACCCTAAAATTGTCCTGGATAGCCTTGGGAAAGAGATTGTTGGCAGCTGGGTGGATAGTACGCCAATAGAATCCAAACACTGTCCATGCTACCTAGCCAAAGCAGCCTACATTCAAAACAAGCTGATGGAGCATCTAGTTAGTGAGATGTAGTTTTTATAGATTGCAGCTACACCAAACTGACTGAAATTTACTCAGTAGCATTAGAGAGGAGGTGATAAGTTTCCACGGTCTTCTAGAGATTATGGGGACTAAGGGAGCTTTAGTAGTGGGGAGGAATTGCCAAAAGTGTCTTTGCCTGCTTTTTTCCTTAAGGATCATCTAGTCTGTGAAGTTCTGCTTGTCACAAATTTGTTTGGTTTAATTGTGTGATTTTTGCACTGTATTAAAACAACCTCAACTACTTCTTACGTCAAGTGGACATTAGTTGGTAGACCTTTAGACAACAGCACACATGTATTAAAAACCCAAATTGACTCGTTTCTTTACAGGCCAAATCCTACAGGTGGTTAGAACTGCCAATGGAGCTCAGTACATTATTCAGCCCCAGCAGCAAGTAGTCCTACAGCAACAGGTCATACCACAGATGCAGCCTGGCGGAGTACAGTCCCCTGTCATTCAGCAAGTAAGATCATTTTAAATGATGGCCACATATTCCTGTTTTGCAGGAAGCCCCTTCCACTTGCTTCAACAGCAAATGACACTCAAGCTGGGAACCCCCATTGCAGTTGGGAACTCTCTGCAAGCCACTTTGTTTCAACAACTTAATTCTCTGTTTCCTCTTTATAACCGTATTTTCTCTACAGTGGTGCCTCGCATTACGATAATTCGTTCCAGCGAATTTCGTCGTAATGCAAAAATAGAAAGCCCATTGAAACACATTGAAACCCCTTCAATGCGTTCCAATGGGCTGGAAACTCACCGTCCAGCGAAGATCCTCCATAGGGAGGCCATTTTAGGTGCCTGTGCAGCGAGGAATCCGTCCCAGAAAATAGCGGGGAGCCATTTTATTTACCCCACGGCCATTTTGCAACCACCGATAAGCTGTGCAAAAATCATCGTTTTGTGAAGAATTGGTTCCCGAAGCAGGGAACCAATCATCGCAAAGCAAAAAAACCCTATTCAGACCATTGTTTTGCGATCGCAAAAATGTCATAATGCAGGGCAATCGTAAAGCAGGGCACAACTGTACTGTACAGCGGTGGTGCCTCGCACAACGGGTGCCTCACACAACGATGAATTCACACAACGATGCCTTTTTCTGTTAAATTTGCCGCCTCACACAGCGATGGTTCCTATGGGGGATTTTCACACAACGATCTCCCTTTTCGCTCCTGTAAAAGTGTCTTACAATGTTTGGAAGCTGTTTTAAATGATTGCAATGGTTAACCCACCTCTTGAAAACTATGCAAACTGATTTTGGTGTTGTTCTGACACTTCGTTAATTTATGATGATTTTTTGAATTTTCTCCATTGGAAACCATTGGATGGTCTGTCTAATGGTTTCCAATGGGGAAAACAAAAAATAAATTCCAATGAAGGAAACATTGTTTCACACAGCGATGTTTCCTATGGGGATTTTCACTCAGCGATGGCAATCTGTTCCAATTGGAACGGATTAACCGGTTTTCAATGCATTCCTATGGGAAATGGTGTTTCACAGAACGATGTTTCACACAACGTTGATTTTTTTGGAACCAATTAACATCGTTGTGTGAGGCGCCACTGTATTTCTTACCCTTTCCCATCTTAATGTTAAACAAGAAGAGAGATTATTGGTAATTTTTCTTCAATCTCCTTTTCTCTTTCCCTTATCTTCCATTTTCTGAGGCAGAAATACAATGAAGTGGGCTTAACCTCTACCAGCCCTGAGCTGTCAGGCATATCACTGCCTCAGTTGCCAGAAGGAGCAAGGTTTTGATTCAGAAGTATGTCCTGTTTCATGGGCAGTGTCTTACCTTTTCTCTCCAGAGTGAGAGCACACCCATGGTGTTTTGTGTCCTGAGATAGATTAGCCCTTCCAATTCATGAAATGGGCATTAGAACTGTAAGATGTCTATTTTATGTATTAGGAGAAGAATTTTATATATTAGGAGAAGAACTGTCTCTGCAACCAATGATAGGTTCTTTCAGAGCGGTTGTGGGGGTGGCTTAAACTATTTTGGCATGATGTTGTTTATCACTTTCAGAGTTAGTTTTACAAGTGGTATGTAATAAAGCTGAAAGATGATGTTTATTTTCTTTCCTCTCTTCCTGTTCTCATCAGCTGATTGGAGATAGTGGTTATCAGAGGGTTGCCTTCTACATTAAGGGATTTCAATTCAAACTTTACTTGTTTTTCATGCCTGTTGAAGCAAGTTGGGGGGAATAGTGCAATATTTTTGTATGCCAGGATGTGTGAGTTTCTACTAAATTATTCTAATGTTATTCTAATACTGAAAATATTAGTAGAGGGGGGAATGCATGGGTGTATAAAGAAGCTATTAAATACAACATACAGTGGTGCCTCACTTAGCGATGTTAATCCGTGCAGAAAAAAAAGTTGCTAAGTGATTTCATCGCTAAGCGGAATTTAAAAGCCCATAGAAACGCATTAAAACACCATTAATGCATTCCTATGGGCTTCAAAACTAACCTTAAAGCGAAGATCCTCCATAGGGGCGGCCATTTTTGGTGCCTCTAAAGCGAGGACACAGCGGGCGGCTATTTTGTTTACCCGGCGGCCATTTTGAAACCACCGATCAGCTGGCCGAAAATGGGGGCTTTGCGATGATCGCTTCACTGCGATCATCACAAAGCGAATTTTCCCCATAGGGACCATTTCTAAGCAATTACTTTTGCAATCGCTTAAACTCCGTCGCTAAGCGATTTCGTCACTCGACGGAGCAATTGCTAAGCGAGGCACCACTGTACTTTTTATTGTTGTAAAGACCACTGTAAATATCAAACGAGAAGGTTGCTTTGGTAGGAGGGGCCAGCTGAGATCTGAGGAGCAGAAATTTATTTATATTTATTTATTTATTTATTGGGCCTATATACCGCCCCATAGCGCTACAAGCACTCTCCGGGCAGTTTACAATTTTTAATTATACAGGCTACACATTGCCCCCCCTCCCAGCAAGCTGGGTACTCATTTTACCGACCTCGGAAGGATGGAAGGCTGAGTCAACCTTGAGCCGGATACCTGGGATTTGAACCCCAAGTCGTGAGCACAGTTTTAGCTTGCAGAAATGACCCAAAGACCACGTGGGCTGCCCACCCCAAACTTGTATCTAAGCTGCATAGATCTACTGTAGCTATTCCTTTTGAACTGCTCTGACCACATGAAGCCAAAGAAGGAAGGAAAGAATGTTTAACCCTCCTTACATTGCATTGCCATTTTCCAGCTGTTTCTTAGATTGGGCTGTATTTAGATAAGGACCAAGTAGCTAATAACATTCTTCATTGATCTTGGTATAGACATTAATTACATTGTTAGAAAAAACATAATTTCTGCCAGCTTCGTGAAACTGAAATAGAATTATCATGTCATGCTTCATTGTAGATGTAAATTCAGAAAGGAAAAAGTAGGAATTATGGCTAATAAATTGATACTGCTTTAATTTTTGTGCAGGTGTTGGCTCCCATTCCTGGAGGGATCTCACAGCAAACTGGAGTAATTATTCAGCCCCAACAGATCTTGTTTACAGGAAACAAAACCCAGGTAATACCTACTACAGTGGCAGCACCTACACCAGCACAAGCACAAATTTCTGCGACAGGGCAGCCGCCAGCCCAACAGCAGCCAGCCCAGTCACAGGCTCCTTTAGTGCTGCAAGTAGATGGAGCGGGTGACACATCATCTGAAGAAGAGGAGGAGGAAGAAGAAGACTATGATGATGATGAAGAGGAAGATAAAGAAAAGGATGGAGCTGAAGATGGCCAGGTTGAGGAGGTAAATATTTCTGTCCCTGCTTTATATACAGTAGACTTAACATATGTACAGTGGTGCCTCGCTTAGCGAGCGCTCCGTTTAGCGATGAAATCGCTTTGCAACGCATTTTTTGCGATCGCAAAAGCGATCGCTTTGCGATGTTCCCTATGGGCCTGTTTCTTTTGCGATGATCGGTTCCCTGTTTCAGGAACCGAGCATCGCAAAGCGACGATTTTAAAACAGCTGATCGGTGGTTTCAAAATGGCTTCCGGGTAGACAAAATGGCCGCCCGCTGTTTTCTGGGACATATTCCTCGCTTAAGAGGCACCAGAAATGCCCGCACTATGGAGGATCCTCGCTGAACAGTGAGTTTTAAGCCCATAGGAACGCATTAATCTCGTTTTAATGCATTTCTATGGGCTTTTTATTTCGCATTGTGACATTTTCGTTCTGCAGCGATTTTTGCGTAACGAATTAACGTCACAATGCGAGGCACTACTGCATTTTGAATTAGCTGAAATGCAGGAGAAAGTCTTTTAGCTGGCCTTTTGAACTAATTATATATGCTAATATGACTCGAGTTTCTTCAGGAGGCAGTTATCATACAGCCAGAATGGCAATACCATATCCATATACAGAAGTGGGGAAATACCTGCACAGAAAACCTGAAGTTTTCTGATGTAGAAGCAGCTTACTGACTAGAGCAGAAAGGATAGTAGAAAAGGCATCGGAGAAAATCTTTTGTTATATATTCCACATCTCATTTTTTATTAGAGGAAAAGTCAAGATAAGCAGCGAAAAAAGGAAATGTGTTTTTTTTTCTACTCAAATGATACGCATGACTAAGTCTGTCTATAAAATAGTCACATTGGTATTATGCACAACTTTAATCTCTTCTAGGAGCCTCTCAATAGCGAAGATGATGTAAGTGATGAAGAAGGACAGGAGCTATTTGATACTGAGAATGTTGTTGTGTGCCAGTATGACAAGGTAATAATCAGATCAATGCAATTCCAGGAAGCTTGCATGCTTCCAATTATTGGAAGGGGGGGCAGTTTAACAGGAAATGCACACATTTTCTAGTTTATAATATTGCCAGCAAAGAGATGCATTTCAGTATATTTTGCTGTCAGTTAGAGCCGAAGCTTTTAGTTAATATGTTTTTATATTCTTTATTAAAGTTTTATCATTTGAAAAGTTCATTGTAATTAATAACATACAGTGGGCCCTCGACTTACGAACGGCCCTAGTTGTGAACATTTCGGGTTATGAACCCGATCTCATAGCAAACGCGGAATCAAGTTATGAACCAAAAAAAGGAGGGGAGGGAGGAAAAAATCTGCCCCTAGTGGTAGGAACGGATTAAGCAGCTTTGCATTAGTTCCCATAGGAACTAATGAATCGACTTGCAAACCACCCCTCGACTTAAGAACCAAAAACAGCCAGAATGGATTAAATGGTTTTCAATGCATTCCTATGTGAAATGCTGATTCGAGTTACAAACTTTTTGGGTTACGAACAGACTTCCGGAACGGATTAAGTTCGTAAGTCAAGGGCCAATGTATCTTACTTGTAGTCAGTCAAGCCTTTCTTGTATATACATGCTTATCTTTCCACATGTCTTCCAAAACCTGCTCACAAAGGGTCTCCTAAGCCTGCAGGACAGATTTGAGGGATGCAAGGGGGGCACAGTGTGGAGGGGAGCTTGTTCTTCCAGCAGTTTTCCTGCAGATACACACTATCTTGGATGCAAGGTAGTACTTCTGTTGGAAATACTGTTGAAAGCTGCAGATGGCAATAGTCTTTTTGGAAGAACCAGAGAGAAATGGTCCCTGATATGTCAGAAACGAACACTTCCAAAACAAAATATGTCCTTTTCTTTAAACTATTTTATACATTAACCCTGTTTCTGACATATTTTACATTATTTTGGCTAGTATGTATTTTTTGTATTTAATCTTTGACATTCCAAATGTAGCTATAGTGTCTCTATTGTAGTGCCACCTTCTTGAAGAGGGTGAGAAACTTCATTTGGTCCAAAATAATGTGGCCAAACTGTTGACTAGAGGTAGATTTTGGGAACATGTGACTTGATCTGTTCAGATCAAAGTACTGGTTATTAATTTAAAGACCTAAATGATGTTTGCCCTCGATTCTGTTGCCTGAACCTACCCATGTATTGAGGCATCTCGGAGAGGCTATCATCTGCATTCTGACAACATCAGATATATGGCTAGTAAAATACAGAATGGGGCTGTGTCAGTAGCTGCAGATAAGAACTCCCTTTGCAACAGGCCGTCTGCTAAATGAGAATAGTAGTAGTAGTACTTTATTACGGTCTAAGACCAGTAAAACCAAAACAATATAAAATAGAGGAATATATTCCATTTCCAGCAAACCATTGGTGCAGCAAGTTGATTATGACCATTTCTGTGCCTAATGTGTTTGTTTGTTTGTTTGTTTGCCTTATATACTGCCCACTCTACCCAAAGGTCTCTGGGCGGCTTATAAACTTGTGGTGTACAAAACTAACTTGCATAGGTGCTGCTTTAATTATGGTCCTCTATACAGTGGTGCCTCGCATAACAAGCGCACCGTTTAACGATGAATCCGCATACCGATGCGGATTTTGCGATCGCTAATGCATTGTGAGGGGGAACAGCTGTTCGGCGGTGGCCAGAACACCCCAAATGGCTGCCGGAACACCCAAAATGGCTGCCTGAACACCCAAAATGGCCGCCGGAACATGGGGAAACATCGATGTTTAATGCGTTCCAATGGGTTTTTTTGATCCGTATAGCGAAGGTTAATCCGCTATGCGGGGCACCAATGTATTATTTTTGTAAACAGCTACTGTTCACCAGCTTGGGCACAGAGTATGGAAAGACTGGACAGTATTTTAAGATAAGAAAGTAACATCCATTAGTACCATGGAAATAATTTGTCCTATGTTCAGGTGGTGATGGTTCCCTTCTTTGAAAGTGAACTTTGAATATTTTTCAGAAGGAAGTCTCTTATTCATAAAATAGGCATGTCTTGTCCCTGTTTTTGGTGCAAAGAATATATATGCTATACAGTGGTGCCCCGCAAGATGATGTTAATTCATTCCATTGAAATAGCTGTCTTGTGAAAACATTGTCTTGCGAAATGTGATTCCCCATTGGAATGCATTGAAATCCATTTAATGCATTCCAATGGGGAAAAATCATAGTTGTTTTCCCAACATCGCCCATAGGGAATCCATTTTGCAAAGCGCCGATCAGCTGTTAAAATCGCTGTCTTGCAAAAAACAGTCTGCGAAGCACGGACCCAAACATTGTCCAGAGAAAATTGCCCATAGGAAACTGTTTTGCGAAGCGCTATAGCAATCGCAAAAACTCATCACCATGCGAATTAGTCATTTTGCGAAGTCATCGTCTAGCAGGACACCACTGTAATGGTATTGTATTCACAAAAAGTTCACATCTGGCTTTTTTTCCTTGTGCATAGCTGTCTATTTATTCAAACAGCATATAAATGTTGATCTTTGTATCAGAATATTTCTTTCTCACTTTGGCTCCCCACCTTCCACAGATTCATAGAAGTAAGAATAAGTGGAAGTTTCACCTCAAAGATGGAATCATGAATCTTAATGGAAGAGATTATGTATTTTCCAAAGCCATTGGAGATGCAGAATGGTGAGGTCCTATACACAAAACAAACTCTGAGCAAAAGCAGGAAAGATTGAGACTTGGTTAGAAACACTTCATCAGAAATTTATCTGCACACCTGAAAGGAACTAGGACAAGACTACCAGGCCGAAAGAATAGCATGACAATGTTGACACTACTTCAAATGGGAACGCTGGCATTTGTGCAGCTAGCTATGCTTCAAAGCTGGTTTTATATTAATACCTTAATTAACCACTTCTACCTATAGATAAAGGTAACTAGCATGTAATGCTTAATCTTCCCTTCCACTGATTTGAAGGAACTCTTCTTTTTTGGTAATAGTACTATGGAAAAAGTTTAGTGTGTCTTTCTTTATAAATTGTGCTGAACCATTCCCTGTGAGAATCTTGCTAAAATTGAATACAGGTCTAACTGATTGGAAGGACTGGACTGCCCAAGGTTCTAATGATCTTATATAAGTAAAATATTTTTTAAATCTCTTGCGCTGGGTCATGCATAATTTTATCTACAATTTTAGGCCTTTTGTATAAATTTTGATCCCGAACCAAGATGTCTCATTTATATTTTAAATGTAATAAGTCTGTTTTTTTTTTCATTTAAAAGGATGTTGTGTTTTAAAGGGGCTAACAGATGGAAGCTGTGTGATTCTAATGTCTCAGTCTTACAGCGTACTTTAAAAAGGTCCATACAGAAACAATGAACAAAGTTTTTGTGCTGTTTATAAATAATTACTCGACCAAGTGAAAGAACATTGCTGGTGATGAGATCAGAAGTTGTTGGTAATGTGTATTTCATGAAAGGTTCCACAGCACTGACAGAGCATCCAATTTTCTTTTAATAATTTTTACACAAATTATAATATGGTAAGCAAATCCACGCCAACTCATTATTCAGTAGTACTAATTTCAATAGACAGGGAAATATCACTGCTGAAAGTAAATTTCTTTTGCTTTGTGATTATGGTAGGGGACTTTGGAAGTCAGGCTTTCAGGAATCTAGGTTCTTTCAGGATAGGACAGACCAAAATACAACCCTGTTACGGAAGACCTTCATTTCCGGAATGGTTTAACATTGCAAAATAAGCAACCTGTGTTGTGCACGCCACCCAAAACACAGTGTAGAGAAGACAGGAAAGGCTGATAGGGACTATGAGAATAGTACTTGTTTGTCCTATTTCTGACACCTTTGTTTTCAGGAAATTGAATATTTTTACAGAACAAAATTGTTAGTGCAGGTTAGTCAGCACTATTTCTTTTCTTCTCCCAAACTATTTCTATTGTATTTGAAATCACATGTACCTGTTTCTCTCATCAGAAATCCATAGTACACAGTAGGGAGCAGTTAGGCTTTCTGCACCCATTGTGTTTACTGAAGGTGGCCTACTTTGTTGGGGGTTTTTGTATAGTGACAGTCATAATGCATCTGAATTTTTGTACGTAAATGTTGTTGGGGTTTCAATTTCTAGGTAGGCATTTTGCTTGCTCACTCAGCATACAGTCTCTTTTGGCTGCAGTTTTGGCCTTGGACTTGAAGATGTGTGTATGTTGTCTATTCCCATTGTGTTAATTTTAGATTTGAAAGAAACATAGCACTAATTCATATACCAACTTTGTGACTATGTTGAGATCAAGTTATCAAGCCAGTAACAAGTAACAATTTCCCTTGCATTCTTCTGAATCTTGTGGCCTATTCACAGTCTATCCTGGCCTTGTAGTTTAATTTAATATAAGCTTAACACCAATCAATAGATACTGCACTGTGAAACCCAAATAGGCTGCAGGTTTCTGTTCAGTACTGGAACCCAGATACTGTACAAATGATTTAGCATTGTGTACATAATGGGCACTGAAAGCTGCTTATCTCTAGCCTTGTTATTTATTCTAAAGGAAACCACAGCTTTAAAAGTGACTTATGGTTAGGTCTGTATGGAACCAGGCATGGTAGCTTGTAACCCAAATACAGGAATGCTTTGGTTGGTGAGGGTGTTAATGAAAATACATGTGAAGTTTTTCTGAAAGCCAGTCACATACCAAACTTGTGCTCTTACTTGCTTCATCAAGTGTTCCTTTTTAAAATCAAAAAGCATGTTTTTAATTTCATTTTATTGTAGCAACTTGTTGTAAGAATATAGTGTGTGTACATTTATTATTGTACTTGAATTTTAATCATGGTTTTAACAATGTAATTGAACAGATGATTTTGTTAGGTTTCCATTGAAATCATCATTCCTTTTGGGATGGCAAAGAGTTCGCATGGTTAGTCCTTAGTTTTACGTACACTTGATTTTATTGTTTCTCAAATTTGGGATTAGTCTCCACTTAAATAGTTCAGTATCTCTATTTCTGAAGCAATTAACGGTTTACAAGAAGGGCTTATGTTTAGATTTGCACAAATAACAATGGAGCACCTTTTAACTTTTAGTGGAGAAAATTGACTCTAAAGTGAATGGAACATCTAAAGGAATAATTATACAAAGGTGAGAGTCTTGTGCCTTTGTAATCTTCAGATATTCCTACTTTATATCAACATGATAAGTAGGACCATTGGATTCCTTTGGTAGATTTCTTACGGAGCTGCAGCTGTAGCCTAACATTTTGCGTGTAATCTTCCTGGTTTTTAGGATGTGCAATCATTTGAAAAATTTACATTAAACATTGTGTTTTAAGTATTCAGATACTGTCATGAAAAACTTCATATTTGATTATTTAAATTAAATTCGTAAGGTGCTCCCTCAAGCAATTGAGTGGCAATCCAGTTTTCCAGCTCCCTTGCTCCTTGTGTCAGAGACTTTTTTTTTTTTTTGGCATTAGTTGTCTCCCCAAAAATGGATCATGATTTCACAGATACACATGCAAGTATAGTTCTAGCTATCTTCTGAAGAGGGTGAAATTTGGGACTGAAACACAGTTGCCAGCAAAAGCAAAGAACATGTAGCAATTAATATGACCAGAGTTATTTTAAAAATAATGTAAACACCATTTGGGGTTTTGTTTTTTGCTCTGTCCACAAAGAACAGCAGTAACGTCCCTTTCAAAATACTGCTTGTTAAAACTGTAGTTTCAGGAGAAAAATAGCATTTTCACAATGCACTTCTCTTCTGCTTGAAAAATATTATATTTTTTCCTAATTGTTAAAGAAAATGGCAAAAAGTAGCAGAAATGTTTGGTTCACTGTGGCAAATTGTGCTAGTCTGCTTTGAAACAGTTTGATCAGTGAGTTAAATTCCATTTTTAGAACACTAGGAATCCCTTGGGTATTTCTACATTGTCAAAGTGGGGCAGGATTATGGATAAATCGAACCTTTTACTTGCCTAAGATGAGACTACTTGCTGTTTTGCTCAGTTCTCCTTGATTTGGGTTTTAATAAAAGCTAAATAATTTTGAGTGGAGGAATAATTGTATGAGGCTAGCCACATGTGGAAAACATCACACATTCACTTTCTCCTGTCTGCTTAGGGTACCAAAACAATTTAGGGGAGTGGGAAATATCCTTAGTTGCTGTTCTGAGCTACTATTGTCAACTGCTGTTGTACATATACTGTTATGTGTAAGGGGGTAAATATATTTATTATGTTTGTAAAATTCAATCTGTACAATTGAAGATCAAGGATACTTTTCCTGGGATGTACACGATGTGTTTCAAAGGCCATTCTTGGAATACAATTAGAAAACTTAGTATTTTGATGTACTAAGACCTATTTTAAGTTTAATATTTTGCCTTTGCAAAAAATTTAATTAAAGATGTTATTTAAAATAAGCTTGCCACTTTTATTTACTATTTTGTGTATTAAAATACTTCTACATGTAATCCGGTTGTGTTCACTTTATTAGAAAACCATTATGCAGCTGATAAACACAGCAAATAAAGAAACCCAGTTATATACAATTACTATATTGTGCTAATATTTTTACATAAAGGTACTGTAAATTGTATATATGAAAACAAAAGCTATTATAAACTGCCACTTAGAGATAGCTTCCCTGTAGTCTGTTTCATGGATTAAAGATGTGTGTGATACTTTTATCACACACATCTGGAGGGGATACTCCTCAATTCAGAGCATGTTACCATAGTCTTTCGAGACTGAAGGATGCCTATGATGATACTTTTATGAGACCATTAAAAAAATCATAGTTTTGAGCTAGCGTTTGCCTCCACATCAATGTTCCCTCTAATTCCCTCTAATTTGTGTTAGTGTGCCCCCCCTTTACTCCCAATTGTTGCAGGGTTCCGGTGACAACTGGAAGTAAATGGGCAGCAACAGTGGCAAGGGGCCACTGCCAAGAAGGCCTGGTTTCTTGTTCTTTCTTTCCGGGCCTTCCTCGGTGTTAGGCCCCTCAGCTGCCCGTCCAGGTTAGAACGAGTGATTTGGGTAGATCCAGGTAGGAGGAGACGTTCCACTATATATCGAGATCCTAAACTGTTTAGGGCTTTATATGTCATAATTAACACTTTGAAATCAATGCGGAAACAAACGGGCAGCCAGTGCAATGCGTGGAGAGATATGTTGGGAGGGTGGGAGGTATATGTTGATCTTTTCTCACCCCACTGAGAAGTCTGGCTGCCGCATTCTGCACCATTTGAAGCTTCCATATCAACCTCAAAGATAGCCCCACGTAAAGTGCATTACACTAGTCTGATCTTGAGACTACAAGTGCATGGACCAGAGTGGTGGGCGCCCCAACATCAAGATTAGGACTCTGGAGAGCAAGATTCAAATCCCCACTTGGCCATGTAAGCTCATTGGGGGAGCAGAACTGGTTAAAAAAACTCCTTAAATACCTTGCTTACCTACCTCGTTAGGGTTGCTATAAGTCAGTTCTGACTTGACAGCACAGAACACACAGACACAATTATTAAATAGGCAGTGAGCATAAAAAGGTGCCCCACACACCATCATTGTGAGAAACAGATGGGGTAAACACAAGGTCTTGTTCTTAGTGTCAGCAAAATTATGTTCTAATAGAGAAAATAGATTAATCAAATACACCCAAGCTTAAGAGTCATAGCTTGATAGATGCCATCAATAAGCTTTGAATTACGGCTTCCTATGTTACACATTTATTTATATACCTTGCCTAGATGGCAGCAGAAGTGCAAAAACAGACTTGCATACAAATCCAAGCACAAGAGGAATCCACGAAAGTAAATTTCAACAACTAGTACCACCACCATGAGGTGATGTACAAATTTAGAGGATAGAGCATTTGTGCTCCTTGTGTCTGCAGAGAGGGATTTGGATACACAAAACCTTATTCTGAAAAAATTTACTGTTCTTGAAAATGCCACAATATTTTGCCTTTGTTTTCCATTTCCCTCTTAAATTTTGCCAAGAAAAGAAGAAAAGAAATTGAACCTAAAAATGAGAAGATTCCCACGAAATACAGTTTACCAAAATAGCTAAATAGTGGTGTTGACATTCAAAGTTATAGCGAATGTTGCATTCAGCAAGAAAAACTAGATGTTGCTCTTTTTTATGAGAGAAAAATTAAAAGATGCTACTAGGGGTGGCAATTTGGGTGGGTGGGGATGAATTTCCCATCCCATAATTTGCCAGGAATACTCCCTCAGGCTGAATTAATTTGGAAACTGTCAAACCGGGAGCTGGAGCAGACATCCAACTTTCGTGGTGCTTTGCAGTCTGAAAAGTCCCAGCTGTGCCTTTGCAAATGTGGGGACCAGAAGTTTGTTTTTTTATGAACTATTTCTAAGTACTATTTTCACAATAGTGAAAATGTTTCATTTATTCATTTTTGAGCAGGGCTGCTACTATTACTACTGTACTACTTAAATTAACAACATTCTTGTTGAAGGATAGTTTTTTTCCCCACAGGTAGCCTAAACTTCATGGAAGAGCCTCTATTATATAATTCACCCGGCTGTTTTGCTGTCATTCCAGCAGCAAATGTGTATGTGATTTGCAAACAGTTCACTAACAGATTTATTTATTTATAAAACAACAACATTAATACAATTGAAGATGGCGAAATAAATTAGGTATTGACAGGAGGGAAGGCCTATCTTAAGAGCTACGTTTTGAGTTGGCTCTTAAAAACACCCAGCGAGGGTGTCCGACAAGTTCCTGAAGGGTGATTGTTCCAGAGGCGAGAGGCCACGGCCGAGAAGGCCCGCTTTCTTGTCCTTTCTCTCCGGGCCTCCCTTGGCATTTAGGCCCCTCAGCCACCCATCTTGACTAAAGCGAGTGATTCAGGTAGATCGAAGCAGGAGGAGGCATTCCACCAGATATTGAGGTCCTAAATGGCTCCCATTAGTGCCACAGTGCTACTCCAGGAGGTTCACTTTAAAATACACAATCATTAATAAAATAATATAATAAAAACCATATAACGAACTAAGCACATGAAGACAGAAGGTGGCAGAACAAAGATGAAACCAAGTAAAAGAAAAATCATGAAAATAAAAGTAACAGTAACTGGACAGAGAGGTAAGATCAATCTGAGCTCATCTAAGGTCAGAGAGGAAAGCCTCCCTGAAAAGCTATGGCTTCAATTGCCTCTTGAATGTCAACAGGGAGGGGGCCAGGCGCAGCTCCTCCTGCAGTTGGTTCCACAGATATGGAGCCACCACAAAGAATGCCCTACCTCTCGGAGAAGACTTATGGGCCTCCCTCAGGGTGGCTATCCGGAGGACCCTTTCCTGCAATGATGTCATTTCTCTCTCTCTCTCCTCCCTTTCTTCTTGCTCTAGTCCACCTACATCATTTGACCTATAGGACCATTTTTATTAATTTTGTTTTATATACATTCAGCCCCATGTCGTGTAATGGACAAGATGGTATCTACTGTACACACTTGAGAGAATAAATTTTGCACTGTTTTTACACTGAATTTTGCACTGTTGAAACAAGTGTGAAGTATGATTTGTTCTACTCTGAAATCCTCTTGTAGTCCACCTACATCATTTGACCTATAGGACCATTTTTATTAATTTTGTTTTATATACATTCAGCCCCATGTCGTGTAATGGACAAGATGGTATCTACTGTACACACTTGAGAGAATAAATTTTGCACTGTTTTTACACTGAATTTTGCACTGTTGAAACAAGTGTGAAGTATGATTTGTTCTACTCTGAAATCCAGCATTTTATTTCATAATGAGAAAGTTTGCTAATGGGAAAAACAAGACAAATTTGCATCAGACCACTGGGTCACCTTGTCCAGGAGTCTAGCTAGTTTCTTTGGCTATGTAGCAGATAAAATGGAAGGTAAGATATGGGTGAATTGAGAAGATCAGTCACTGAATATGAACATATCCAATTCCATTAGCTCCTAAATTCTCATTTTTGTGTATTTGTGCCATTTTGACTCCTCTTGCAACAGGATTATCACAGAAGGTAAGTGTATACCTTGGCTTTTTTAGGTCCCTGCTCAAAGCTGTTGCTGAGAAATTCAACCTTCCCACCTTTCATGTATACTCTTGACAGCGGAAAAATCCTATACAGTCCATATGATATAGTCGGACCCCTGTATCAGTGTGATCAGTGTCCACTGACTCACTTATTCGCATGTGAAAATATTTAAAATATTAAAAGAAAATTTCCCAGAAATATATATTTCTAATGACAAAGTTACCAGAACCCAGGGACCATGTCATCTATAATGCCTGCTAGAGAAATATATTTCCACAGTGTCATTACCAGAACTGGCCACTAGAGGGAATCAGAGACAAGGCTATATATAGCGTTCGCTATTACCATTTTATTACCTATATTACTACAGTGTTCACTATAATTCACATTTTTCAGCATCTGCTGTGTGTGTGTGTGTGTGTGTGTGCATGCGTGTGTGTGTGTGTGTATTGGAACAGATCCTCTGTGGATTCGGGGGACCTATTCTACATGAATATGTCAGGGCATAATGACTCAGCATACTTTGATTTGGCAATGTTTTCCAGCTGGTTGTCTTTTAGTAACTCTGGATTGCCCTCAGTTATGAGGAACACACGAAAATGCCTGATGTAGCCTTTATGGCATACAACCTCCAACAGAGACAGAGTGAGGCACAAAACAGCCAAGGTCCAATGCCAAAAAGTCCCATGAAATCAGTAAACTTAAAGGCACCAGGGCCTCATGATCTGAGTGAGGACTGTTTCCTCTTGTCACTGCTTTGCTCCTGGGCTGCTAGTGTTTAAAGTGTTTCACTCTTTGGCTGGATTGGACCCGTGTTTTTTTTCCTGTCTAGATTTCAAATTAAAGAAACTGGGTGAAGATGATCACATTTACAGTTATTCTGATAACTTTAACCCCTGAATTTTTTTCTTCTAATTATATATAATCCTGGATTCAATAGACCCAATGAAAAAATATTTTGTTATATATATCTTGACAGCTGCAAGAATTCTTCTTGATAAACATTGGAAGGACCTGGAGAATCAATCTCAAGATGATTTAATATCAAAAAAAAACATGGATACAGCAGAAATGGACAAACTATCAGACTGGCTAGACTTAACAAGAAAGACAAATCATGAAGATCGTTGGCATAAATTTTACGAATGGCTTAGAAATAGAATGCAAATTCACATTTGATAATTGAAAGCCTAAGATCAATTTAGAAATAGAATATGTATTATAAATTAGTTACACCGGAAGCTTATGTATCTTTGAAATGTAATAGATAAGAATGAATACTGTAAAATGTTTGTGTTGATGTACAACCCCTGTTCAGTCCCATGTGCCCTGTCCCCTATCCTCACACCTAACTTATAAAATAAATTTTAAAAAACGATGATCACATTTATTGGATGAATGTCCTTTCTTGAACCTGGAGAGCTCTTCTTCAGCCCCCCACATAACCTAACAGCTGACTGCTTGAAGAACACCAGATGTCAGTAAAGCGCCTGTTTGTTTTTTTATCTCAGCCCCAAATTGCAAGTGGAATCCAGGAAACTATTCTGTGTCCTGATCATGCGTTTTAAAATTTCCCCTTGATAGCAACAGATTTTTAATAGCACAAGCCATTAAAGGATCTTCAGATTCTGAGCCTCTGATATAATTTAAACCTACCTTACTTCACCCATGCCAGCGGCGTGCAAGTGGATTAACAGCTTCAATTCTTGAGTTGGTAATTTAAGAGGTCCCAGCTAACCCAGCGGCTTGCATGAAGTGTGGCTCTGAACAATCTTTTTCCAGTAAGACCTACAGCTCTAGCTTTGGGAAAGAAAGTGAAGCCTGGTTTTCATGCGAAAATTCTGATCGGATGATTGAATACTTAAATTGATATGGAATTATAAGAATATATATATACATATATATGTGTGTGTATATATATACACACACACACACATATATATACATATACATATATATCTCTATATATCTATATATATGTACAGTGGTGCCTTGCTTAGCGAGTGCTTCGCTATGCGATGAATTCGCATAGCGAGGGGGTCCGGGCCATCGCTGGAGCATTCGCTCAGCGATGGCCCCTATGGCGATTTTTCGCTTTGCGATGATCGCTAAGTGATTCGCTTAGCGATCTTCGCAAAACGAAGCGGGGGAGAACAGCTGATCGGCGGTTCCAAAATGGCCGCCGGAAGGTCCGCGCCACATTTTCGCGCCCTGCCCTCGCTTACCGCG